TTAGGGTTCAGGGTTTCAGGCTTTGGGTTTAGGGTTTAGGGTTCAGGGTTTCAGGCTTTGGGTTTAGGGTTTAGGGTTCAGGGTTCAGGGTTTAGGGCTTAAGGTTTAGGGTTTAGGGCTTCGGGTTTTGGGCCAAGATGACAGGCTTGGGGATCCCCTAAACCCTAAACCCTAAACCCTAAACCCTAAACCCTAAACCCTAAACCCTAAACCCTAAACCATTGGCCATCGGCTCCGTGGCATTGGGACTTTGGAACTGCAGCCTCAAGCCCCCAAACCCTAAACCCCGAAACACGAAACGGCTTTAGGGCTGAGGGCGTCGAAACGGCTTTAGGGCTTAGGGCTTCCTTAAACCCTAAGCACCCTAACCTAAACCCTACCCTAAACCCTAAACCCTAAACCCCTAAACTGAAACCCGAAACCGTCAACCCCCCCCCAAGACCTGCAGCCCTGAGTGCTGAACTAGAAAGCGTTAGGCTCTGGGGCTCTACCAACATTCAGAGAAGCATGTCGGGCGTTCGAGCTAGCGGTGGGCTCTAGGCGTTTAAGTGCGACTCTTCTAAGCTCATATTATGTATGCATTCATAGACACACACGTACAAATACCTACGGGTACATATGCATATGCATATACATATGCGTACACTGCCAACATGTTCGTAACAGTAACATAAGCACATGCACATACATAAATGTATGTACATACATATACATTTACATAAATACACATGTATATACATGTATACACATATAGATGTATATACCTATGCACACTGACAAACATATGAACACGTACACAGACACATACACCCACATGTACATGGACATGTACACATACACATGCGTAACAAAACACATACATGTGCATATGTGTATATAGATAAACATTTCCATATACCTACACATATACATGTACATATGCATGAACATACACACATGCACACACACGTGCACATGCACATGTGTATGCATATTCGCATATGTACAGATGTGTATGCTTGTAATTACAAGTTTACATGCATACATGTATGTGCGTGTATACATATATATATATATATACATATATATATATATATGTATATATAGCCTACGTATGTATGTGTGTATATATATATATACAGAGATAACTATACAGTGTATGATATTATGCTGCATGGTGCGCTACAATATCATACCGTATTGCCTTAATGCAGTTTTCTGTACAACACTGCTTCGTACTTTGTCATCTTGCTTGTCATTACAGAACATGCTCTGTGTATCTATGAAACCTCACAGCAGTCCTGTAGCAACCGCACGGATCCCAAAACAAAACAAAAAAAACTGATAGAGAAATACCCTTCGGGGACAATAACCCTAAAACCCCGCCAAGCCCTCATGCGCATCTCAGCCACCCTTGGGGCAGACGCGAGGTTGCGCTTCCTGACAGCGGTTTAACCACTCGGGGTTTGGAGGCTTAGGGTTGTCTTTCAAGGGCCTTTTTCTTCGCTTGCGCTCCAAAGCCCGGGTTGGGCAGGCTCAAACTCAGGTTTTGGGTTTAAGGCTTAGGGTGTAGGGTTTAGGGATTAGAGATCAGGGTTTGCATGGCCCTTTTGCAAGGGCTGCGCTTCCAGCCATCGATTCATAAACCTAAATCCCTAAACCCTAAACCCCTTAGATCGGGGTGCCTCAGCCTGCACTTTAAACCTCACCCCATCAAAACCCTCAACCTAAATGGGCAGTTGTCTTAATTAGGGTCCCTTTTAGGATCCTTTTTATAAGGGTGCCGTATTATATTGGGGACCTAAAAAGGGATCCTAGTTTAAAGAACTACCCAAATACTCTATCTAAAGCCGTAGAAACCTAATGAGCTAGAGCCCTAATGCCAATATCCTAAACAATCCTAGGCCTTAGAGCAGGTGTAGCCGACTTGAAAAGCGTCTCCATAAGACCTTGCTAGTCAGGAGGGGCCCGAACCGCATGATGTAGAAGCCTGAACAGCTCAGCTAGAAAATTCGATACCTTTGGGTTCCCAATAGGGGTTTCGGCGCCCTTTTGTTGGTGCCTGTATCCTTACACCCCTTGAGGGGACTCTTCGTTGGAACCCGTCAAAGGAACCCTTTTCGTTCCATTCAGGCCCCTAGATCCCCAAACCCTAAACCTTATGGTTTAGGGTTTAGGGTTTAGTGCTTCGGCGCCTTCCCCAAACAGGACAAGCCCGACGGGCAGGGAATCTCCACAGCCAGGTCCGGCTGCGTCCTCAAAGCCACGGGTGCGACGGAGGGAGTTTAGGGTTTAGGGTTT